ACCTTCTCGGTACTTCAGATCAAATTTTAGTTCACTTCAAGGTCTACTTGTACCTAACCTTTAACCGTGTCCATCAGGAAGTGTTCGAAGTACCGGTCCAAGGAAGATACTATGTACGAAATTCAGCTGCAAATATAGTCATGGCAGTTCGACGAAACAAAGCATTTTTTTCAAATCTTTATTGGCATATAAATTAAGTGCTTCTCATCCTTTTCAAAAGTAAACTAAGAACAAACAATGTGATTATTTTCGGGAACGGAAACGTATACGCATTTACTTTTGGGTGATTTATTGGGCAAGCTGTGAATCAGAAAATGCCCGGAAATGGAGAGAAACTACCCAGAAGAACTAATTCTTCAAATCAAGGCTAAAAGTAAAAGAATTATACGGTATACTCGTATCTGCTCGCTGTGATTGTAGGGCTTCAAAAATATTGCTCAGGACCTTCAGAAAGGTTTTAGTAGTAGGCTGGTCTCGGGGACAATTAGAGTGTAGATTACCCACAATCCATAGCATTAATTCGAAACATTTATGTCTTCGAGATGCCTCAAGATATTTTTTCGCAGCGGTATACGTCCCGCATGATGGCAATATGGGTCCTGGTACACGTACAGGAACTATTCACAAAACAGACGGGGCAGAAAATGATATGCTTCCCCAACTAATGCGAAAAAAAGTAAGCAGAACGAACTGCCAGAAATAAACAGAAGTAACAAGCGTCGAAGTCAATAATTCGAGAATAAATATTGAATGCTAATAGGTAACAGATGCTTCACGATTATAAGGTGGAAAATTTATGTGCGTGATGAAAAAAGCAATAAAAAAGTGGAATGACCAGGAATATGTTGCAATACTACCTACAGAATGATGTGAGCAAATGTCAGTCTTTTTCTATAAATAATGTCCCCCTAAAAGAAGGAAAACTTGTCAACAAAAAGATGCCCAAATGTTCAAAAACGTTGAAGGGAAATAATGTTCTTCATGAGAAATTCCCCAACAAAAATGGTGATGTATCTCAACGATCGAAGGTTAGTAATGTTCGTCAATTTTATGTTAGTTATGGGATGTCGTTATAAACATGTTAGCAGAAATGGTTAAAATTGACTCCAGTAATTTTCGAGTCGAACTCCAAGGGACCAGTAAAAAACATTGTCCAGGAGTTTTCGAGTGCTGAAATGGTTGTAGCAAAAAATATTCTTGTAATAAGTTATAATTAATGAAATCTTGGGCTTTACATCACTGGATAAATGAGTTTTTAAAATACTGAGCTTGAAGGAAAGGGCAAAATTGTCCAATTATTATCGCACTTCATTTGGAGAAGCAAGTTACATTTTTATTGCCTTTCTTTCATCTTGGGTCCCTGGAATATTAATGTTATTTTCCAAAATTACATGTACACAGATTTAAGGACAGTCTTGAAGTTTTGTCCTCAATATTTCATTGTTCCCATTTTAAAGGGAATTCAGGGGCTAAAGCAAATTTTGACAATGGGATACTTTCCACTCAGGTTTGATTTTGTCAGGATCATAACTGATGGAATGTAGTAGGTTTTATTTACCTGTATACAGTGTGCAAATATTTTTCAGGGACTCGCATCTTTCACACAACTTCTGCTGAACCTCATCAAATACTCTATAGAAGTGTCCCCCAACCCATGGAAAAACACAAGTTGGGGTTATTTTTTAGTAAGGATTACTCAGACAAATTTTCACCGGCTGAAATAAATCATTTTAATTTTCATTCAGAAAAACCTTTTTCAAGCCCACCTTCCTAATTTTCTGAAGAAATTCCTCTAAAGCAGCTTCTTTGGAAAGTCAAGTTTGTTACTACCTGTACCTTGATTTTCAAAAAAGCTTAAAATGTTTCAATACAGTATTTCAAACACAAGATTTCGAGTCTGCAACAATTTCAAGAAACCTTGCCAGTCCGCAGACATTGTTTTGAAAAGGGTCGTGGAACGCGTTACTGCTATATATTTAGGATCATTTACCTGCAGGCTAGTCAGGGTCATGGAGAGCACTCCTTTGCCCAGTCCGAACCCATATCCTCGTGGTCCCCTGACCCTGCCATAGCAGGTGGTGCAGTAAATCTCGTCCGGACTGGACGCCACATTCGTGGCGTTCAGGGAGCACCCGCAAACTCTGCAGGTGTAGCAAGTCGGATGGTACCGCCTGCCCTCTGCCACTCGCTGTTCAGCATGGTACACTCGGTCTCCACACCGAGGACACCTCTCGTTACCATTCCCACGCAAGCCCGATAAAACATTCCGCATGTTTATCTTTGGTTCGCGAGCAATCCTGTTCATCCTCATGTCCACGAAAGCAGAAGCCAGATTCAGTAAACGGTACAGTACAGTAGTGTTATATACATAGGAGTAAGTTCAGATCTGATGACGACGAGGAAAGGCGGAGCTGATGGAACGAAAGCTGTGGCTTTTTTGTTGACCGCGGCGAAAATTTCCACGACGAGTTAAACGGATTGCCCTCGCTGATTGCCGTCTGCTTATTCGCGTCAGATTTCAAGCAGGTCAAAGTCTCAGGTCAGCCGCTGAATCATCGCTGACGAAACCTTGCCCAGCCTCAGTTTGCTTCTCGTCGTCACTGAGGAAACCCAGACTTATTCTCGCGTCCGTCACGGACCTTCTTCTAAACAGCTGAATAAGACTCAGCCCCATTTATTGCGAAATGAAGAGACACAAAAAAAAGTAAAAATAAATCGTAGTCCACCAAGTGAGAACTGTTCGAGTTGGCCAAGAATAAAGAACACTGCTCACGCTTCTTGGGAGTTGTCTTTGGGGAACAGAGTTGATCGGATTTCCGAGGGTGTAAAGATGATGATGCGCGTGCTGCGTGTGTTCTTGGATTATTGCAAAATATTCACCTTTGGATTCATGGAGATACCCGCACCCAATTCTCAGAAATTTGATTTCGTACATCAGCGAGGCACCTCAAACGACGAACCAATTCAACAAAGTATTCCCCACTGNGTGCTGCGTGTGTTCTTGGATTATTGCAAAATATTCACCTTTGGATTCATGGAGATACCCGCACCCAATTCTCAGAAATTTGATTTCGTACATCAGCGAGGCACCTCAAACGACGAACCAATTCAACAAAGTATTCCCCACTGACGTGGATTGGCCAGTTCACATCATTCGGCAGTCGAAATGGAAAGGACTGTATGCTGTATGGACTGGAGGACCCCGAACGAGATTCGTGCATTGGTGACATCTAGGAGAAGAACAAAGAATTACTCTTGAGTATCTTTGAACGCTTATCGATAACATGAAAACTGATCAAATGTAACACAACAAAACATAGGTTGCGATGCAAGTCACATTTAAGTGGGGAATTTCCTTCAAGAAAAAATTACTGAGATGGTAATGAGTAAAAAAAAAGCAATTGGATTTTTTTTCAGCGCATAGATTCGAGTAGCCTTGCATAGCTGATCCAACGTAAATATAACGCCTCTTGACCGCGAATTGAACCCCAAACTTAACTTTACTTTATCCTAAAATGGCACGTAAGATTTCAAAAAATTGAAGAAATGAACAATTGCATCGGCCATCTTGGGAAACTCGTTATATATTGTATTTCGAACAGGGATTTTTCCACTGACAAATTTCATACACACGAGTACAGAATAATTTCCAATTCAGAAGTCGCGAGGAATCACTTTTTTTAAAAACTCGTATACATTGTTTTGTAAATGTCAGGGACGAGGGAAAATGCTGTATGTAAGTCTGTTGGAATGGTATGAAATGTGCCAAAAATAATAAATTAGAAACCGAATAAGTGTACATCTCAGTATAATTTTTCCTTGACGGAAATCCCCCACTTAAATCAAAATTGCATTCAACACAATATCTCTCGCCACCTTGCATCTTTCGGTACTGGAAATGCACTGCGCATGCACGCATTCTATATTAGTTACTCAGCAAAAATAACATCTGCTTGACCTACATCCAACGTCGAATTTGGACTGAGATTCGCCAAAAGGTTTCTTGTGTTTGTTCGAGTTCAGACCAGAATCAATACATCAAGTCTTGACGTGGTCGAGGTTACTTCAGTTTTATTGAGTGCCTGATCTTTTTTTTTTTTTTTTTAGAAATACTTCATCTTACTCTATAGTTAGTACAATTTATTAGGTTAACTGAAAGTAGACGTAGGTCAATGACGTCATTTAAGATAATCTTTTTCGATTAATGTATGGTATGAGCGGGAATTACTTATTTAATCAATGAGTTGATTCTTGATCTTCCCCAGCAGTTTATTTCAATAGACGACGAGACATGGCGTGTACTTTATTTTGCAGTTTTGAAGGTGCAACCGCTGCCGGTGTACTGAAAAATGGCATGCATTTTGAAATTTACCGAATATATGGCTGGCAGATGTGCGTAAATCAGCACAGTCCCTTCCCGAGTTCCATATTTGGGGGAATAATTTATGCAATTTGGGAGGTTTTATTCTTGCAGCGCAGAGGGAACTCAAAAACTTTTTGGAAGAGTATGTCTTACAAATAAATGGAAGTATATGGAGGGAATAGCAATAAGAGTTTTCTTCCCAAGATAACATCTGCGACTCATTTTTATAAAAACGGCATTTATTCGTTTCCTGGGGGAAACTGGCGATTTTACTCCAGTGCATCCTCCAATTTTGTTTCCATCTACTCGAAGTTGACGTTTTTTTTCTACGGTATTTTTTTCATCAGTGGGTGCACTAAGTTCATGTAATATTCCCCTTAACTATTCAAACAAAATACCTAGAGTTATGCACGCTTCCATTATAATCATTAAAAAATTGGCATATTCCAACTCATTGAAGTTATGTTTAATTTTTTTGTAATCTCTGGAATGCATGAAATGTAAAAATAAATCAGCCCTGTCTCTCAGGGCTAATACAGATGGAATCTCTCTACAACAAAACATAACAGGCATCTTCACCTATTTGTAGAGTAACTCTTTAACATGCTGGGAAGTGACTACGATGGGACCAAAAAATCATTAAAAAATGTATGAATTGCTGAACAACAGCTAAACTTATTAATTTATACTCAAGACAGGAAATTGATTGCATTCAATTTTCTTCTCGCACACAATTGGTCTGCAATGTAATCCAATCAAGTATAATGGATACAGGGATACAATTATTGGAAATGTTTTTACTTTAGTATGACATGCACACCAAATTTGTTGCTTTCCATGTTGGGGGCAGGGGTGTGAAGTATGTTACATTCCCAATACTGTAATATTTATTTAAATGCTATATTTAAAGTATTCTGACTTTTATAACATGCTGTAAAAATTCATTGGGGCAAAATGTAGATGACCATGCCCAAGTTTAAAAAGTAAAATTGTTTAACAGCAAAGCCCTTCTTTTCTTATGCCCAGCATTCCACAGGTATGACAAATAATGGCTACAGCAGAGGGGACTTGAAGAAAAATTCCTCAAAAGCAATCATTTGTAAAAACTAAAGATTCATTGTATCAAGATTTTACTCAACAGTACATCCTTTTTTTGCACAGATATCAAGATTTCTTTTTTTGCTACAGCATTCCAAATGAAAGTTCTCCTGGATTCATTCAGAGCCTCAGTTCAAAATTCCAATGTTGAACAGTAGAATATCTTTACAATAAATGTCATTGGCACAAACAATTGCTTGCAACAAACAATGTTTTTAGCTCCCTGCCCAATAGCCACAATGTTAAATGAGTTGCTACATAATCACTTCTTCATTGCAACAAAGCTATTTTACTGGTGGTCCCCCCACTGGGCTTAGTTGTACCCAGATTTTTCTGTATTCAAAACGTTGGAAGCGCCACTGAATTTCCTTGGTCTTGCTGAATGCCCAAAAGCAATTCCAAAAGGGGGAAGGAAGGTCTGCCCATGTCGCCGACAACGTTGTTTCTCGCGGGACGAAAATAAATGGCACCCCGTGAGAGAGGCAAGTAATTCCTGTCCATGATCGTAACCATTCGTTATTTTCGTCTCTTTCTTTGTGCAGTTTAGTTCCTTTATTCTGTCTTCGGGGGCGGGTTGCGCATCTTGATCAGCAAATGCTGATTCATGCAATTTCGGGTGGGCAAGCATCGCGGGTGTCGTAATGGTTGCGACGAGCGCATCTCCCCCTTCGGTCCCCGGGTTCTTTTGAAAGTTAATTTTGGCTGGATTGATGGTCCTACCGGTTCGTGATCCCGGGCTGGAGCAGGAAAGTGTTGCAGCGTAACACGCGATTTTGGTGAATACAGTAATAGGGTGAAAACTATTGCATGTGAGATGATGATCAATTATAATTGAGACACAAATGTTTGTTGATTCCCCCCCCCCCCCACCCGGGTTACTGCAAACTTCAGTAAGAAATCCTACTGACATTACCGCGATATTTTTCCACGTACATTACTCTGCGGACTTCGATTCCGTTAAAAATGTTGAAAAGAAAATCCCAGTGAAACCGGAATCATTGGTACACATGTTAATAAGGTTCGCGGATATATTTTCTTCTTTTCGAGTGTGTGTGAAAATCAAAAATTTTCACACGAAGACGCTTGTTACATAATTGGATACGTTTTAATTGTACACCTTAGTCAGTCAACTTTTAATTTACTTTGAAATCCATTGACTGTATTCCACGTTTTAGAAACGGACATCCTGCCAACGTTCTTCACCGACTTTTCATGCTCCATGACATACTCATTTTCTAGTATATTGTAGTTCTTTGTTTTTAAATGTAGGTCATGATGTTGATATTATTCACGTCAGGTTATGGTGGAAGAAAATTGTGCAACGGTATACAGTGCATTAAAAATCTCCTTACAACAAAGCCAAGGGGACCGGGGAAGCGTTTCTTTATAACAATAAATTCGTTAAACAGCGATTTGAAAAACATTCTTCAGTTTTGGAAGGGAATTGAAAAAAGAATTCGTTGTAGCCAATGTTTCGTTACAACGAGATTCGTGGTAATGTATGATTCACTTTTTTTTTATTTCTCTGCTGGAAGAAGGCATCCAGTCATTCGCCGAAATGTTTTTCTGCACGACCTTTTCCAATAATTGAGAAACTGAATATTGTAAAATCCAGCTCATAATATACATCAAGAAAGACATGCGCTACAATTTCCGAAGCTAACTGCGTAAATTATGCAAACTGAGAGTGTCATGTCACAACCCCTTATGAATTTCTTTCATGAATCCCTCTCCCTGCTTCTGCTCTAATTTTCAGTTTCATTTTTCCGAGTTCCTTTTGAAGTTCGAGGCTGAAAATAATTTTCCAGCTA